GTAAATACGGATCTGCGCATGCGCGCATTAACTGCTTCAAGTCGGAGTTGTAGTAGCCGATGCGCGCTTGATGCGTTAGAGGTGGGGGGATTCTAGGGAATCCTATGCGCCACTAATGCGCGCATTACCTGAAACGGAACGATTGTCCATGCAGTTCATGCGCTCAATGCGCAAAACGGAACGGACCCTCAAATGTGCGTTACCGCGATCCACGCACATGTCCAAAACCAAAATAACTTTATTCCCGGTTGGGCCGAACATCGTCATGCCGAAAAGAAAACCAAATTATGTGGATCGGGAGGAAAAGGTCTTACGAATTATGTGAGCCGCTGCTCGGCGACCGCTGTCGCATAACTCAAGACTATTAGCGCCGGACGGATAAAATTGGTCAGGATGACTCTACGGTCAAGGAAACGTGAAAAGAAAATAAATATGTAATTAAATAGTGCAAATATAAAAGAAAAGGAAAATGTGTTTCAGCTCCGTGTGTGACTCCGTCCTCGGAGCGCTCGCGCAACTTAATATCTAGTGGGGATGTCCCCCTCGTCCCCGGAGGTCTCCTCCCCTGTAGATGGGCTCAGGAACTCGTCGCTGGGCTCGTCCCGCTGGTTCTGCGCCGCTCCACGCGGCATCACCGTCAACGTCGGCGTCGGTTGGTCGATACGGCGCGTGCGGTTGCAAGGTTAGGTGAACAGGGCAGAGGACAGTCACGCTCGAAGATTGCTGTTAAGCGGCTGTTGGCTACTCGGAGTCTGGAATCGTGCTTATCCCGGTTGAGCGGAGGAGCTCGCACAAATAGTCACTATCGCGGCTTAGAGAACCAAGAACGTTGGATTCCTTGACAATCACGCACTTCAAATAACTGATTGAGAATTGGGACAAGGCCGTTCTCTTCCGCCCGGCGAGTTCTCGAAAGACGGAAACGGGGGGAGAGATCCGGAACGCAGCGCTCTCTGATGGTCGCGTTCAGCAGACCAACCCGCTCAGCAGGACAATGCCGAAAATCGACACGTGATCAATCACGCGGGACGGCGTGATCGACAACCCCTTGCGGATCGAATCAGTGCCACGTGACTGACAGCAGGCACGTAGCCAGTCAGCCTCGCGGCCCGATTATATCGAGAATATGGTTCGATTTTTAACACCTTCCGTTACAAAATAATAATAAAATTTAGGCCCAGTTTTCACCAACGTCGCATATAATATTTAATTTTAGCTCACTTACTCTTTGTCTCTTTTTTATTATGCTTTCTAAAAATCCGATTAAAAAATATACTATTCTGATGAATTTAGCATATCCTGAAAATATTCGATAAATAAACCGAATATTACTGATTTTCGAATATTGTTAAAATATCAGTAAAATAATGTACTATTCTGATCAATTTAGCATATCCTGAAAATATTCGATAAATAGACCGAATATTACTGATAAATTTCGAATATTCTTAAAATATCAGTAAAATAATATACTGCAAAATACGTTCTAAAGATATTACTAGTATATCTTGTATATCTATAGTATATTGAGTATCAATTCAGTATATACGAATGATATCATGTGCTGTGTGGATATATATATATATATTTCAAGACCAAAAGATAATAAAACATATAAATATAAGAAACTCACAGTCTGCTTCAGCTTAACTTCCCTTAACTTTATTCACAGTAAGGCAAGGAAAGTATTCTTAGCTGATGAAAATTACATACACCTTCGTCTACAGACGATTCCGAGTCTCGACATCGAACTCGCGAAACTCATGTTCGACCGTTAGACGCCGTGCCGTCGTAAGCGGTGAGATCCCGACGACGGGCAGAGGCGCCGTACGGCAAACCGGGCTCGTGCGACGACCGGCCCGCGAAGGGACCGGCCGCCTAGTAAGTGTGTCACATTGTTTTGAGCCTATCGACTCACGAGACTCCTAGAGATATCATTGCCACCTTTGACTAGAGAGGATACCTTCGTTTACAGATGCGGCTCACTGAGTGATACGCCTTCGAGGATATAATAGCTGAGAATCCGCGATCGTCTCGTGTTTTTCAAATGTTTTGAGTGAAAAAGACGAGACACGATACAGATACGTATCGCGCGTCCTTTCTGTCCTTCTCACTCAAAACATTTGAAAAACACGAGACGATACATATATATATACGCGGTCGGTTGTGTTTTCATCTTATTGAGTTTATGTTCGACCACGAAAGCGGACGCTATGCAGAGCAATTCGTCTCGTAAGTAATACATCAAATTAGTTTCCTTTTTTTATTAAAAAAATTTAAGGAGTTAAGGAGTCAATACCGGTTATCCGTGCTAAAAAAAACGTTTCAAAGATATAAATAAATTTGTATAAACGTTTTTAGCTATTACTACACCTTTTGAGTGCAAATAATATCGTAAATTCTACTCTAAAGTCATTATAATCACATTTATTTAAAACATTCTAGACTTGTTAAGAGTATTATTCTTACATTATATTGTTGCGCTCAACCGCGCGTTCGCTGCACTCACAACACACAGACACACTCGCGAACGCGGCGCGCGATCCCGTCGCCGGGAATAAAGACTCTCAGTAAGAAAGGAACTCGTTTAATACGGAAATGAGATAATATACAGTCAGCTCGTGAACACGTCTGTTCAGCTCAAAGACCCGGCGAAGAATCTGAATGCCGACATCTGTCAACAAACAACGACAGACCCGTCGTCAAGCACGTCGTCAGGCAGCGCTTTGCGACTGCTTTCCGGGTTTCTACTAGAGATGGGCGATGTTGCCACGATTAATCGGTGTACGATGGTTTTTTATACAATTAATCGATTTTTTGGTCGATATCTTTTATTTTGATCGATTGATTATTCGATGTGTTTAGGTTAGATTAATTGATTGTTCGATGTCAAGATTCACATAATCGATTCTTGACATCGACCTATGACCGGTAGCCGGTAATGTCGGTATATTATCAATACACTAGATAGAACTACGAGAGAGAGAGAGAGAGAGAGGCGTTAACGCCGCCAACAAGTCAGGTGACAACGTTCTCTCAGTCCTCCCTCTGATTGGCTAAGATAATATAGCTCCTATAAGCAAATTTTGATTGACTGGCGTAAATCTGAGTCGCATTCACGTGACCTAACCTGTTGACGCTTCTTTCTCTTAGAGGCTCTTTACAATCTACGTCTCTACCTCTCTACCTGCAAATATTGATATAGCTGTAAACTGTAAGTACTGATATAGAGAAAGTAAAATATAACAAGTTTTACAAAATTATAATTACGATATCTTTTTAATTCGATTGTGGATTAGTGTCAGAAATCATGAATACGAAGAAAGCTAGAGCAAAGAGCGATGTGTGGAACCATTTTATAAAAGTGGACTCAACCTCTGCTCAATGTATTATTTGTACGAAAGTATTACAACATAAAGGTAATACAACAAATATGCACAACCACTACAACAATGTACACAAAATGCACGCAGAATCAAATGTGTCAATGGGACCAACGCTGCCTAAACGATCGAACATTTCAACGGAAAATTCTGAGAGTAAGAATACTGAGAACACAATGAAGAAGGATGAATTGAATAAAGAAACACCTGCTAATATCTCTTACACTACATTGAAAATCCCAGGACGGCGCACGCCATTGATGGATAATTCATTAGACAGCAATATTGATGATCCAATAATATGTAAAACAGATATTGACATGGAGTGTCAAAGTAAACTTTCTTCGACTTCACAGTCTTCGCACTCTTTGCACTCACGCTGTGGTTCAGAATTTAAAGATAGGCGCCAGATAAAAAAAATTACTAAATACTAACATAGATCACATGACTTTATCTTTGGACTTTTACTACAAAGCGATTGAAAAAATCTAATTTGAACTATTTGAAGCAATTACTTACAATTAAAGAACTTTGGAACATTGGAACAATATTGAAGAGGCACTTTTTCTTTCCATAGCATTACTGTGATTTAGAACAATACTATAATTTCTTTTCACTTCTATGATAGTATTGTAGCTTTTGTGCCTTCCTTATAATACTATTTTCTTACGGTAACTTTTTTAATGCTAGTATAAAAAAATGTTCAAACTAAAATAAATGTAAAATCAATGTTATTATTTATGATTTGATTTGATGTCTCTGTTTAAAAGTTGTCTTTTTTGCAGGTTAAACGGAGAGAAACTCAAACTAAGATCACAGAATCATTTTCACGAATTAATTCCTTCAAGGGTCAGTAAGATATTATTAGATTTAAAGTCTAATCAAGTAAAATTTAAGCCGCGCTACGTGAAATTTTCTTTTTTTCCTGTTTTTAGATGGAGGTTTTTTAGCAAATAAACTCACAAATGATATTCTGTTTATGATTACATCAGAAAATCTACCGCTATCCATCGTGGACAGTAAGGGCTTTAAGCGGCTCATGAATAGAGCAGCCCCGCTATATACCGTTCCTAGCAGAAGAACCATAACTCGCCTGATTGATGCTAAGTATGACTTTTTGAAAGACAGTTTTAAGGAAGATCTAAAGCTTAGCTCTACGTTTACATTAACGTGTGATATTTGGACGGATGTGAGCAATCAAAGCTACCTTGGCGTTACAATTCATTATCTACGACACGAGCTAGTCTTGTCAAACGCAACGATAGGTGTTTTTCCACAGATGCAGAGTCATACTGCCAACTATGTCAGAGAGACATTAATATCTGTAATAGAATCACTTGGTATAGATGTAGGGAGTATCACAGCCGTCGTCACTGATAACGCTGCCAATATGAAGAAAGCAATCACAGACGGATTTGGCAGTGCAAAGCACCTGCCTTGTATTGCGCATATTGTGTCCCACTTAGTTCCAGACGCTATAAAACTGAGCCCTCGTATCGGTGAAATTATTGCCAAAGTAAAGTCTATCGTGTCTGTGACAAAACGGAGCGTTGTGGCATCTGACGAACTAAAACGATTGCAAATACGTGATGGAAAAACTGACAGTACGGCATTGAAATTGAAGCAGGATGTGCCAACGCGGTGGAATTCAACTTATTATATGATAGAACGTTTTCTAGAATTAAAAGATTATATCTATCCTGTGCTTTTAACGTGCCGAACGGCCCCCACAGCACTTTCTCGCGAGGAAATCAATATTTTAGAAGACACTGTACGACTTTTAGGTCCAATTGAATTTGTTACTACCGAGATAAGTGGTGACTCGTATCCAACTAGTAGTATGGTGATTCCTTTAATTCACTGCATGGAAGCCACCATAAAAAACTGCATTCCTATCACTGTTGAAGGCAAGGCATTCAAAGACAGCATCTTGTCTGAAGTCCAACGACGTTTTGAAGAAATTGAATCATATCAGATACTTGCAGTGTCAACTATTCTGGACCCGCGATATAAACGCATGCATTTCCAGTCACCAGAAGATGTTGCCGATGCCGTATCATACATTAACCGTCAAGTAAAGACTGTCGCTGTTAATAATAACGTGGAATCAAATACAGTAGACCATCTAGAATCGCAAACCGAAAGCAAAACTAATGAGTACAACGTGTGGGCTTTTCATGACAGTTTAGTCGATTCATGCACACCATTTACACCATCTGTCGATGAGCCTGGTGGTGTGAATCTTGAATTACAGCAATATTTAAACCAGCCACCCATTCTGCGAAATTAAGATCCATTTAAGCATTGGCAAACGCTTAAACCCGCCTATCCGACACTTTTTACAGTGGCAATGCGTTATTTATCTGTAGTTGCGACCTCGATACCTTCAGAGCGCATGTTCTCAAAAGCTGGAATTGTTAAATCAGACTTACGAAGCAGACTTAGTGGAAAGCGACTAAATAGTCTACTCTTCTTGGGTTCACTTAGTGAAGAGAGTTGGGGACTAGACTAAAAAAAAACATCTTTATCTATTATTTTATTTTACTGTTATAATTTTGTGCAATAACGTTACTAACGTTAGGTTTTATATGTGATGGATATATCGATTGAGATAAAACGTTCCATTTAGTTTAGCACAGTTTAAAAAAAGTTTCTTTTAGTTGCTAGTAGTTTTTGAAAAAAGTTTCTTTTAGTTCCTTGTCGTAAAGATTTCAGGGAATTATACATTATACATATATGTTACATATTAATAATAGTAAATAATAGTAATAACAGTCGATAATTAGTATGCATGCACCCTTCTAATCCTAATCCTTTCTCCTTACTATTGTTCTACATTATCTGTATGCAATAGTTATGTATCCAGTATCTAGTGTGGTTGTTTTCCTTATTCACGTAATTCTAATATTATAAATTACGTATTTACTTATTTATAATGTTTCCTAATATATATGAAATTTAAATTGTTTTTTTTTATATTTTTTTTACATTTTTTACATTTTTTTCCAGACTTATACCGGAGACGTAGCAATAACGCACACCCAAGGCAAAGATATACTACAGTCAGAAAGTCCAGAGCCAGAGAATGCGGCAAATTAGCTATTATATAAAAAGCCAAGTGAATTGTATTGTAAAATGTAGAATTATAGAATAGAGTTCATGAGAGCCGTTTACTGGCAATACTGGCGTTTAGCTGGCAACTAGACTAATTAGAGTTTCTACGTACAATTCTTTGCCCTGGCAGACCACGCGTTGTTACTAACGGACATAACGCAGTCTCAACCTCAACCAAAGCTAGAACGATACAATCACACAATTAAATTGATATCAATTTAATTATATTAAAATATACA